CATCATCGACTTACAGTATTTCTTTGTCTTCAGGGAGTCTGCCCATATTTCCACGCCGTATAATTGCTGTTGTTATTACTGTTAGTGTTGTTGCTGTCGTCCTGGTGTGTGTGTATGTGTGTTGACTATGACTGATCAGTGTGTGTGTTCTGGCTGTGTCGTGCTCCCTGTTCAAACTAGCAGAAATGCCGCTCACCGCCACTCGCTTTAGTCGCGGTATCACCTTCTCACACACAGAAAACAAACGTCAATCACGGTTCCACGCACCGGGCACGTATCCTTAACTAAAAATCACGGCGAGGGCACGGGAACTCAATCGGGGAAACCGAACAGAGTCGAGGAAAAACTTGTGCGCGCGGCGGTCTGCTTCACTATCCAGCTGCTACTGCCGATTTTCTCTCTCTCTCTCGGCCAGCGAGATGTGCGCGCAGGTCTGCCGGCGACTCGCTGGCTCTCTCCGATCTTCTGTCTCTCCCTCTCACTGTCGTCTTTTCGTCAACTCCCTCCAATCACCGTCGCCGCCGTCGCACCTCAAGAAAGGGAACTAAAGAGATAGCTGATGAGAGTGTGCTCAACCAGCGCACACTCTTAGCTTGGTAAGGCGCACGAGCATTGGTGAGAGCTCGACGGAGAGCAACGGCCGAGCCGTGATTCTCCGTTACAGCCCCCTCGAAGCAACCGATTCTTTCACCAAGATCGGAGGCTGTTCTCCCGCTCTCACCGTCCGGGCACCGTACGCGAGCTGGGAGGACACCAAAATGAAGAAAACAAAATAAAATAATGTCAAAATTATAATAGTAATAACAAAAAAAAAAAGATATAAGAAAAGAAAAATAAGGAAATAAATGGGCGGAAATCAATGGTCAACATAAAAATAAAACAAACTATATCACGAACCGCCATCAAATAAATCCCATCACCTCAAAAGAAAATAATAATAAAAGAAAAGAATCGAACTTAAAACAAATAAACGAAAACCAAATTGAACGTAAATAAAACAAAAAAATCCAAACCTGACTTACCTCGTCGCTCCCCCGTCTTACTAGTCTTCCTGACAAGAAAAGAAAGCGACGAAGCACAGACGGTCCCCGATCGACAATCCGGCAAGATATGCCAGGGCGATTAACCGAGGAGAGGGTGGTGATGGAGTCGACGGTTCGGGTGGCGCCAGAGATGTTACGGCTACCGATACCACTGCCGGCATAGCTACCAGAGGCACCGGTAGCGACGCCACCGACGTCGCCGATGGTGTTGGCGACGTCCTCGCCGACGCCGACGACCACACTGTGGAGGAAGCGGTTTCCGCCAACTTCTCGGCGTAGCGCTCCAGCGCTTGATAGTGTCCGGCCTGATTCGGTTCCGGCCTGTCGGTCTGGCGCCGGTTCGTCCTCCACCACTACCACGGCCTCCGGCTGGAGCTCCGGTCGTTGGATGGCGGGTTCCTGGATCAGCGCGGGAAGGGGTGCCTACAACGCACATGAGCTAGCGGCCAGAAGGGCCCTTTTCTTCGTCGGAACGCGCTTGGCTCCGGCCCGTATTTTTTGGCGACGACGGCCATCTAGATAAACTTTCCAGATCACCCCGTCGTTATCGATGAACGGGTACCATAAGCACGCCTGGCCCGAAGCCACCTTCACGACCGCAGGTTCATCACCGGCCAACACAGGCCTCGGAGGTGACACTGGCCCAGAGCTCTCCATCTCCATGGGGTCAGACCTGTCCGGGTTCGCCACCTCAGGGGGAACCGGCTCCGCCCTCAAGGTCTGGGTTTGCCCAACCTCTCCGGATGCACCTTGGTCTGCCTCGTGTCAACGTTGAAACCTCCTGCGAGGGTGGGTTGTCGCCGACGTAGCGGAACTTTACGCCCGTAGAGAAGTTAGGAAGCCGCCTAGACTTTTTCTTTCTCGAGGGTTCGGGGACATCCTCGTCTTGATATCCGGGAGGGGGGGGGGGGAGACCCCGACCGCCGGGCCGCATCGGCGGGAGAACCCTACGCGGCCTTTCCTCTGGCTCAGCCGACGCCGGAAGGAATTGCACTCGAGGGGGATCTTCACCTCCCGCCTCGGGGCGCACTTTAGAACCCCGGGTTCCTCCCAAATCGCCGGCAGGGGGCCATGCTCCTCCTTTACTGCCGCCCCAAATCGGAAGCCCAGGGTGTCCGGCTCCACATGGGTTTGTAAACCCCGGATGCGGGCAGTCTGAAGGCCCATGGCCGTCCCAGCGTAGGCGCGCCCAATTCGAGCGCGGACCCTCTACGAGACGCCAAGTTGGCCAACGCCTTGCCAAGCACCTGGCGAGCTGGGTCGGTGTTCAGTTGGTTGTCCCACTCGGTCCGGCCTGGATGGGGAATCGGCTCCAGCAGGACAAGATTGGCCTTAAGGGCCTCCTTTTCCCGCTGCTCTCGAGCCTGCCGTTCTAGGTGCAGCGGAAGTGGGACAGTGGCCGGCGACGCCGAAGGCGCTCCACCACTGGCCTCGTCCATCGCATCTGCGGCTGACCCGAGAGTTAAGTCGGGGTCCCCAATAGGGCTCTGCTCACCAGGTCCGGTAAGGGGGACGAGTTCCTGCACTTCAGAAGAGCTCATGGGCGATGGCTCCGTAGTGGCATGACTGCCAGCTGCGGCCACCCCCGAACTCTCCATGGACTCTGCGGGAGCCGCCACATCCCGTTCCGAGTCCGGACCTACCAGCGCCTGAAGATGGTCGATCTCCTCCTCATGTCAGGAACCTCCTGCAAACAAACAAAGATAAGGTTAAGCCCCCACACCGTACTCCTCTCAAACCGGGTCAAACGTGTTAGTGGGTTTTGAGCGAAGTGGTTCCCTCCACCGTGTTAATCCAGAGCCTTACATGCACTACGTCTATCAAGAGGAAATGAGATAGGGACGAAGAAGACGACCACAAAAAATAATGACTGAAATAAGATCGTCGGATTGGGAAAACACGAGCCGTAGTCTACAAGGGCTCTCTAACTAATACCCCCCCCCCCCTCTAGGTTACCGATGATGTTTATTTTTTTTTCTTTCTTACACCCTAGTGCTCTCCTCGTGGCGGGACATACCACTTTAACTCCTTTACTTGCACGCGATCTATCTGCTTCTTGCTATCCGTCGTCAGAATATATAATTCGGGGGACAGCACCTCCGGTCCGATGTACGAGGGATGTTACGTCGTAACACGTTATATATGTACTAACACATACGTATCTTATTCAGGCATGCACCTTTAAATTAAGTTGAGCTGCGCGCGCAGCTAGAGCGTGTCTGTGTGCAAGAGTGTGTGAGGCGCTAGAGCCTTAAGCCTAGCGTGGTGGCAGCACCTTACGGCGCTGCGCCACTCGCGCCAAGCATGGCTGCTCTTGCCGGTGTTACCGGCAGTCGTCGACGACATCGTCTAGCATGCGGAGCTCCCTCGCGTCTTTACGTTTCAATAACGGTTTCGTGCACCCACGTGCAATACTGCTTGCAATACCCACGTATTGTAAGGCTCTCGTCCACTCACGTGGTCTTTACTATCGCTTTAGTGTGGTTGGAGTGTGTGACAGTAAACGCAAATCTGTTTGTGTGCAAAATTCCTTTGTGTGCAAGGCGATTGAGTGCGTGCATGCATGGCAACGGCCATCGCTCTCCGCGCGACGTCTCTCTCGCGCTGTTTCTGTTAATGTAATTTCCTATTTCGTTTTAATAAAAGGATTTTTTATGCCGGTATGGCTTTTTCCCTAAATTAGTATCAAAGTGATTTCTCCTATACATCTAATAAAATAACAAAATAACCATCATAAATCAATTAACAACAAAAAAAACAAAGAAAATTTCAAACAAGAGCAATTTACTTCGCCAAGGAAGTCGCTCAATTCTTTTCATGGTGCCTCCTGTGAGGTAGTTCTCTACCTCTCTCTCTCCTTTTTCGTTCTCAGAAAAGAGACGTTGCGCAAGTGCAAATGTGAGTGTGTGAGAGGAAAAAAGTGTGCATATAAAAGCGCGCGAAAAACGTGCGCAACGTGCACCGACAAGTGCAGCGCGCCAATTTGTCTTCTCTCTCGCTCGCTCCCCCGCCGTTCGCTTACGCCTCGTGCAACGGCCTACACTCAGCGTGCGCAACAGCGTGCGCAATCGTCCAGCGTGCGCAATAGCGTGCGCAGTCGTCAGTACCAATCAGCATTGCCATCGCTTCCGACCAGGGGGACTTACACGCAGCGGCCTCCAACATCGTTTTCTGCTAACTCAGATAAATGTTCTTCTTTCTTTCTCTCGCTTTCTCTGCTTCGATAAACAAGTATACGCTTGAGAAATAACAGTTTCACTTTCTATTCATAACGACTGATTCTATCCCACTTGATTTAATTCTGGCGTTTTTTGGTTTTTCGTCAAATTAAGCAAATTAGTCAAATTAAAATTCGATTGCTCATTGATTACTACTCGAGTCATTGTTTGTATTTTATGTTTATTCGAATTTAGCAAGTGGTTAAATCTAATTGAATTTATAATCTACTAGTGATTCATTGCTACTAAATTAGTTTGTAGACAAATGTTTAACATTGTTTAAATTATTCAAATAAAAATTTGTTGTCCATTTCAATTATATTTTTTTTCTTCTTTTGAAAATTCAACTAACGTCAATTTCAATTTTAATTTATAATTCGTTATTTCGATCCAATAACTGTCCAAAATGAATAACGACGAGGTTAACCCAGCCAGCGGCAACGCAGAAAAACGCTTAATTTACATCGAACAGAAATTTAATAGGTTCACAAAAACGTTGAAATCCCTCAAAGAATACTTAGCGAAGGGATCGCCGGATGCGACGAACGCGGAGTTGCGAATAAATTCTCTTTCGACTATATATCAAGGTTACTCAGCGAATCGCGAAGAACTTCTTTCGATGCAACCTGACCATCCCCACATTACCGCATTCGACGAACTCGAATCCGAATATTTCGAAATAGCAAGCCGGATATCGAAAATGAACAAACCCCCAGTGATCCCTCTCGCAAATTCCACTATGCTCAACGGAAATAACACCGCCACTTTCATCGAGAGAACCGACGTGGCGAAACTCGCGCCGTTAACAGTACCCAAATTTGACGGGAACCACAAGAACTGGGTCCCCTGGAAGGCCAACTTCCAAGCGCTCATACACGATCGTCTGGGAATGGCGGGAAGCGTCAAACTATCCCAACTTCAGAATGCGGTTCAGGGTTTAGCCGCAACTGTAATAAAAGAGTTCTGTCTTGACCCCAGTGACGACAGCTACGGTCTAGCTTGGGAAGCGTTGTGCAACGCTTACGATCAGCGATGTGTCCTAGTCAATGAGCATTTCGACGCTCTTCTGAAGTTAGCTCCCGCTCAAAATCCAACCGTCGAAACCACAGCCACCCTGATGTACACCGTCCGTCAGCACGTCAGCATGCTTAAGACGATGAACATTGCGATTTGCGACGAGTTTGTCCTGCGAATTCTTGAAAGGTGCCTGCCCGGGTATCTCCTGTCGCGATGGATGGATAAACATTCAAATCGCGAAATCCCCAAATTGGAAGAATTGTATACCTTTTTTCAAGATTCAATATTCAAACAACAAGCGATAGGTGAACTTCCGAAACGAGATCATCAGTCCAAAAGAAAGGGGGCGACAGCAAGGCAGAACCTCCGGCGAAAGTCTCCAAGAACGTTACTAAAACACTCGTACCCACTTCGACGACCAACAACAACGCGTGCGTTCAATGCGGTCAATCCCATAGACTCTACAAGTGCGAAGAGTTCAATAAAGCCAAATTGAACGAAAGGTGGGAACTCGTTAAGGCAAAGGGGTTATGTCGCAATTGCTTATACGTTCACTCCACTTCCTGCTCTAGCGAAAAAAGGTGTAAAAAATTCCAAAAGGATCATCATACCCTTCTCCACGCAGACAAAAAATCAAAGGCGTCAAATTCATCTACCTCTCAGCCCGCGAACGATTCAAATTTGAACGGGACGTCTCTACCATGACTAAGTCAACAAACATACGCTTCAAGCGCATACCTTCCTGATTCTCAACTTATGACTACAGCAGTTTTAAGCTTTCAGTCATGCCGAGGAAAACGTCTCATGGCTCGCTTACTATTAGATTCATGTTCCAATGCAAACTTAATGACTCAATCTCTTATCAACCGTTTACAATTACCAGTTAAACAATGCTTTGTGAATATCGGAGCAGTAGACAATGCGAGCACTGTTTCGGAAAGATACACTACAGCCACCTTCTATTCCACATATAACAATTCTAAACATCAATTAAACTTTTCGATTGTACCTACAATAGCGGAGAAAGTACCTAATGAGACTTTCCCTCGGGAGAAATTCAACATCCCCAAGAATATCAAATTAGCAGATCCCCAATTTCATATACCCAGACCGGTTGATGTCTTATTGGCGTCAGGTCCAACTATATCTTCTCTTGCCATAGGACAAATCAAGTTAAATGGCGAAGGATCCCAGATCACCCTTCAAAAAACTTCCTTCGGCTGGATTGGAGCCGGAGGATCAATTCCATCAATGATTCCCAACTCCGTTTCGTGCAACGCGGTGAGGTTGGATTCACTTCTCGAAAGATTTATGGCGATGGAAGACGTGGATTATCAACCCATCAAGTCCGAAGAAGACGTAGCGTGCGAAAGGTACTACATTCAAACCACGACGCGCGACAGTTCAGGTCGCTATATCGTTCGTCTGCCGTTTCGATCAGGCAAATTCGACCTAGGTTCGTCTAAATACCAAGCGTTACAGCGATTTCAGGCGTTGCAGCGCAAATTCGATGCTAACCCTAGGTTTCGAGTAGAGTACGAGAAAGAATTCAACGGGTACCTGGAACTTGGCCACATGACGCTGTGCGAGGACGACAACAACGATGGTTACTACTTGCCTCACCATGCGGTGATCAAGGAGTCTAGCGAAACGACAAAATGTCGTGTCGTTTTCGATGCTTCCACAAAATCTTCCACCGGCATTTCGTTGAACGATACGCGTTGTTGACTGGACCGACTATTCAGGAAACTCTGTGGCAACAAATTTTGCGAATCCGTTATCATTCCTTCGTCATTACTGCGGACATCGAAAAGATGTATCGACAAATCTGGGTTCATCCCGACGACAGGAAGTTCCAGAAGATCCTGTGGTATCACGAAGGCGAAGTTCGAACTATCGTTCTCAACGTTGTGACTTTCGGGGTGAAGTGTGCTCCTTTTCTTGCAGTTCGAACATTGCACCAGTTGGCCGTCGATGAGGAGAGCAGATTTCCAAAATCGGTAATGCTACTTCGTCGAGACTTCTACGTTGATGATTTCCTTTCAGGTGAAGACACGCTGGAGGACATCATGAGGATTCGGGACGAGATGATAGAACTCTTAAATCGTGGGGGGTTCGTAATACGAAAATGGTCTTCTAATCATCCGTCTGCTTTAGACAATATCGATAAAAATATCTTCGATTTAGACTGTGGCATACAAGGGAACCCCATAAAGAAGACTCTCGGAATCATCTGTGACTCTCAACGAGATGTCTTTTCATATTCCGCAAACCCTGATGCATCAGCTTTTACCAAAAAAAACTCCTTTCCCAGATCGCAAAGATCTTCGATCCTCTAGGCTTATTAGGTCCTCTAACTCTATATGCCAAAACATTGATTCAGGAATGTTGGAAAGCTAACATCACCTGGGACGAATCTTTACCTCAAGACATCCACACAAAGTGGATTGCTTTAGCCGAACAACTTCTTTTGGTGCGAGAAGTCGCGTTACCAAGATATCTGCGATACGATATTGCGAACCCAGTATCCACTGAAATACACGGTTTTTGCGACGCGTCGATCCAAGGATATGGCGCGTGCATCTTCATTCGTTCCATTGATTCAGTGGGAAATGTCACTGTAAGGTTGGCTTGCAGTAAATCCAAGGTTGCTTCTCTTGATCATCACACCATACCTCGTTTTGGAACTCTCGGGCGCTGCCCTTTTGAAAGGGCTATATGTCGAACTTGCGACACAGCTGACTTTCACTATCGTGCAAACAATTCTTCGAACAGACTCAAAAATCGTTCTTTGCTGGTTAGATAAAGCTCCTCATTTACTTAGAACATACGAAGTGAATAGAGTCGCTGATATTCAAACGCTAGGTGAGAAAGTCGAGTGGAAACATGTTCGTTCGAAAGACAATCCAGCCGACTCACTATCCCGAAGACAGCTACCCAGGAAACTTTTAGCTGACCCCCTCTGGAACTCAGGCCCTCCATGGTTGGTTCTTTCTCAAGATCAATGGCCTCCATCGGAAAGTTCCTCGTCAGTTGATCCTCCAGGCGCGACAGAGGGAATTGTTTTATTCACCGCTTCTTCCGGAAGCAATGTCTACGCTCGTTTCTCTGACTATGAGTGCCTTATTAGGTCCATCAGATATCTTCTCCGTTGGCATAGAAAGGAACCATTGCCAGACGATATCCAAGGTGCGGATAAATCGCTACTAGGGATTCGTTACCTCTCTCAAATCGAAATAGCTCACGCAGAGCGCACCATTCTTCTTCTCATCCAAAGAGAATGTTTCAGTCATGAGATGAAATTGCTTAAATCAACTACAAAATTAATTTCCAAAGGCCCCAACGGCGCTTTCAGGAGTCGAATGAAGTTTGACGAACTCAATCCCTTCTTAGACGAGCATGGACTAATCAGAGTAGGCGGTCGGTTGAAGAATTCAAATCTTCAGTTCAATCAAAAATACCCTATTTTACTACCTAGTAATCATAACGTGTCAGATCTCATTATCCGCGACGCTCATCACCGAAATCTTCACGGAAGGGTCCAGTGCACTCTCTACACGATACGCGAGAGGTTTTGGATTCTCAACGGGCGAAATCAAATTCGACATGTCCTGCGCCGCTGCGTACCGTGTCTTCGACAAAAGCCAAAATTCTCACACACCAAGATAGCAGACCTTCCAGAATCTCGAGTAAACCCTGCGTTCGCTTTTGCTAAAACCGGCGTAGATTTTTTTGGTCCGATTATGATCAAAGAAAAAAAAGATCGTAATCGAAGCTTTCTTAAGGCGTACGCGTCTGTTTTCGTCTGTATGGCCACCAAGGCTGTCCACATCGAGGTAGCTTCCGATCTCTCAGCTAAGGGCTTCCTCGCATGTTTTCGTCGGTTCATTGCCACGCACGGCAAACCGAGCACCATGCATTCTGACAATGGTACTAATTTCGTGGGTGCGAACAACGAACTCCAAAAGATTTACAAATTACACGATTCGCCCGAATTTAAAGACGCGATTCAAACCTTTGCTGCATCCGAACGGATTGAATGGAACTTTAATCCACCTCTCTCACCGTACTTCGGCGGTCTATGGGAAGCGGCAGTTAAGAGTTTCAAACACCATCTGAATCGTGTCGTCAAGGATCAAAAGCTCACGTACGAGCAATTGGAGACATTATTAAAGGAAATCGCCGCCGTGTTAAACTCCCGGCCATTGTACGCGATTTCTGCCGATCCAAACGATTCCCTTGCGATAACTCCGGCACATTTTTTAATCGGGCATCCCTTCAACTTCTTACCCGAGCAAAATTATGTTTCAGTTCCGAACAACCGCCTCACTTCCTACCAACTCGTCTCTAAGGCTAGGCAAGCCTTTTGGAGTAAATGGCTCAAAGAGTACTTGCATGAACTGCAAACTCGCCAGAAGTAGTTAACTTCCGAAACCATCTTGACACCTGGATCCGTGGTTGTATCGATGGAGGACAACCCTGTGTGCGCAAGATAGCCGCTGGGTATCGTCGTGGAGATCCACCTTGGGAACGATGACATTGCTCGAGTAGCATCTGTGAAGATGGCCTCCGGAATCTACAAACGGAACATCACTTGGCTCTGTGTGCTACCAGTGAATCAGGAAAACGCGGACCCGTTGGAGTCTCAAGCTACCCTCCCGACTTCGTAATTGGCCCCAGATGTGCGCTCTCTAGTTTGCCATGAACGAGTTGAACCATGGGGTATTCTGAAAGTGCTTAAGCCTGGCCCGAGAAAGGTAGAGTACAGAGTGCTCTACAGCCAGATGCCCAAAAAGACAGTCTTTGGAGCGCGATACCTGTCCGGATATCAGGTTCCCAATGATCGCGGAGACTCCAAGTCAGTAAATAAAACATAGTTAATAAGGACTCATGTTTATTAAATCAGCTATTCCCTAGGTCAGCCCAGTAGTCAACCCCTCGCGATGGTCAGCCTGATCTAGTTAATAGGGGCACGAGTGGCGTACCTCGACGCAACGTCGACCTAGGCGGGCGATCGTTGATACGAGCGGTCTCGATGGATCGCGAACGCGTAGTTATGCCGTATACAAACTATTTACTTCGCATACTAGCTCGGGAATTGGCTCGAGTAAACACACACGCGCGGAAATCGGTCGGTCTCGCGAAGGTCGTGCTACTCGATCGGCAGTATTAGCATTTCGAAGCGATAATCCTATAGTGAAAACAAGCTAGTAATGCGCACACAGAACTCGTCGGTCGAACGAAGGTCAGACGCGGCTCGCGCAGTATCCGATCGGTTTCAGAAAAGGAATTTGTCAGCGCGCGTAAGACTTGTCGCCCGCGCGAAGGTCATGCGGTATCCACTCTTGTTTGGCACTTAACAAAGCTGTTAAGTTTGTGAATAGGCGCACACACTGGACATCCGTTGCCCGCGCGAAGGTCGTACGGCACTAGACAATTTTATTTAACAAGAATATCGCATAAAGGGAATCAACGAAACTGATGCGCGTACGGGGAGTTAGTGCCCGCGCGAAAGCCAGAAACTCGTTAATTTTGACAACTTAGTCGAGGAAACTTGCGTACGGGAAAATCGGCGGTCAACCTACGCACGCGCAAAGAATTTACGAATGTGTGCGCGCGCGTGAAGAATTGGTCGCTCAAGCGATACTCAACATGACGGAAACAAGGAGGACGTCCGAGAGGTCCATGGCAAAGGTGCGCACTCGAGAAAATCTTATCGGACGCGCGAAGGTCATGCGACACTCCCGAGGACGCGGACACGGACAATTACTCGACTCACAGACGGAAAGGGCTCGTTTTAAATCAACAACTCGTTAAGGTTAAGCGGGGATATTGCGGCACATAGACGCGCGCACACGAAAGCTTGTCTTTCGGGCAATGGACAATGTAACGACGCAACAAAGAAATCGCCTAGAAGGTCGATGACGAAGATGCGTACAAAGGGATCGGTCTGACGCGCGAAGGTCATACGGCACTCCCGAAAACCTAGCGTTTAAGCAGTCACGCGAAGGTCGCGCAGCACTCCCGATAACGCGGACGTTCGACAATCACGCGATTAACAAGGAATGAGCGTACTTACTCGGGTGCCCTTTCGATACGATCACGAGCTGTTGAGGTCGTCGTTTGTGGCTTGCAGGCCTGTTGCTGCGTCTAGGTTGCTCTGCTTCTGTTGCTGCTACTCTGCTTCTATTGCTGCTCACGGCACTCGCGTTTTTAGGTTTGGCTCGCTCCAGGGTCTCAGGGGACGTCTGGTCGACGCCAGGGCTGAACGGGTACCGGCGCGGCGTTTTTCGGCGACGCGCCGTTTCTCTTAACTTACCTCCCCTTAGTTATTAGTTGATTGGTTGGCTTGTTGCTAAGCCGGGTGTCAGCACCGTCTATACCGGTATCTCTAGCCCGCGTAATTTGTTTATTGGTCGTGCGTTGGCGCCTAATTTCCCTACTGGCTACAAAGATAGCGTCGGTTTCGTTCTATTAGTCTAGCTACCCCTAAGCCGATAACGATTGGCTGACCAGTTAGCGTCACTTACCTATCCTTGTCTAGCTATTGCTCGTTGGTCTTGCCGATTCCCCTCACTCGCGTCCGATCGGTCTCGTATCGGCGGTCTCGCTTGCTCTCACGCGCTCGGTTGCCCCTACTTTAGTCTAGCCAGGTCTACTTCAGTTAACGGGGGCTTGCGATCAGCTGATCACGGCTGCAATCTTTAAGGGCTTCCAGCTTCCCGGGGGAGTGTCGGATCGGGTCGTGAGTGCGCGAGGGGTTGTTCGCGGGTGTAAGGGTCGTGCGCATCGGTCGGGGAGACTTCGGGGGACCATAGGTCGCGAGATCTGGACGTGCGTGGGCGGGTGCATGCGGCAGTAGCTGTTCGGTCACATTTTCTAGCCGGAGCGGGGCTAGAAAATGCGCAGGTAGCGTATTTTTTTCTTGTGATGACGCATCATCACAAGCGTTCTAAATATAACGTTTATGAAACCCTCTACAGACGTTTAAAGGAATACGAAGCTGAACGTACCATGAACGTTTGACAAACGTAACGATTAGTGATAATCGATAAGTAAGTGACGTTCCACAGACGTTTGGATAACGTTTGATTAGATCAGAGAAAGGTATGATCTATGTTTCAAATGAAACGTTTTATCTACGTTATTTAATGTTGAGTTCAACACGTTAACTAGACGTTCGAGAAATATTTGCCTGACGTTCAGGAACTATAGTGGTACAAGAAAGGTTTTATTTCGGACATTTTTCAAACGTTTATACAGTTGAAAAATATATATACAAAACGTTTATACAGTTTATACAGTTTTAAAAGTTTATATTTTGTCAATCCATTCAAGCTTTTGGCTTCTTAACAGACGTTTTAAAAACGTTGTACAAATGTTTGAATAATGATATCCGCTCGTAGGACTGGAGAAAAACGTCTGACGAACGTTCTGCAAACGCTCAACTTATTTCGTCGGATTCTGCGTTTTAATACAGACGTCCATCTAACGTTTTAGAATCGTCTTTTCCCCGAAGATTTAATCTTACATTTTTATAGCTTTCATCCTTTTTTGGTGCATTTATTTGAAAAATTAATCCGTTGGGTAGGTAACCGAACTTTTCATTACTATTTGTTTAAAAATTCTCTATTTCAAGTCTTATTCAACTCCAAATAATAAAATTATGAAAAATAAGTATTATGAATATGGCTTTTACTACTTCCGTTTACGGTGGCTGTCTCGATTTAAAGTTTAAATTCTAGTTCATGAAGGACTGTAATTATTATAACACAAAACATTATTGCCAAAATCAATTTTAATAATGATGTACTATAGCTATGAATCTGCCAAGCTACTGCTACTACTGAGATATGATTTTGTCACCAAATTGAATTTCCCGTTCAAACTCCATGATAACTAACAATGGAACTTAGCACGTCGATTGAAACTGATTTTCGTTTTCATTTCCGATCCTTAAAGCTAATATTGGTGTGGGTCAAGTAAATTCTTTATATAGCTTTTACATCATGTGACGAGAGTAAGCAGCACGCTTGCTCCTCGTCTGCCCTCCTTCTCTCTCTCCCTCTTGTCGCTCGGCATGGCGACGTGGTCAGCGTTGGGCGCATATATGTATTGCGCCTAACCACTGGCCTTTATGTTTTTCCAGCCGCCGAAGATTGCCGAGCAAGATTGAGAGCGCCCGAAGAAGCAAGAGCGCAGCGACTATGAGGCAGAGAGAGACAGAGAGAGAGAGAGAGAGAGAGAAAGAGAGAGAGAGAGAGAGCATGCTAGAGTGCGCGCCTATCCACGCACTATGCCGGTTTGGGCCGGCGTGTGACGCGCGACCAATTAGCGCTTTTGTCGCACGCCGGCTAATGAATGGGCTTGGTGGGAGAGCCCGGCGAGAGTGCGAACGCTGACCATGCGTCAAGTCCGTTTCCGGAAGAAAGTTAAGGAGAGAAGTTGGAAGTAGCGAAGAAAAGAAGCAGCGCAAAGAGAGAAAAAGAAGTACTCGTGCAGCAGTGACCAGACCAGGGCGAGACGAGGCTACGTGTGGCGACAACACCTGCAGCAGGGCATTCAGTGTAGCCCTCGCCACCGTGCACGGCACGACTTCCAGTGGGTTCACCACGGGCTACGCCGAGGAAGACATCCAGCCAGCGACCAGGTCAACTCCCCGTTGCCGGCTCATCGCCAAGGACAAAGGTCAGGTTATCTCTCTCTTCCGGTATTTCTCTCTCTCATGGCGCGGCCGCGTAGGAACGATAGGTAGCCAGGCAATCCCTTGCCGGCTACGCTCATCGTAACGCGGTAGTGAGGTTTCGGTGTATCTTTTCTTTTTTACTTGTAAGGAGGCGAATGGTCAAGGCGATTTAGTCGCCGGGCAATTCGTCCTCCCGCGTTAGTTTAAGTTGTTCTGTACATGTGCGCGTGATGTAAACTTTATTATAACCGATTTTGTATTTGTTTGTCTGAATAGATTTAAGTTGTATGTTCTAATTAAGGAAAATCATTTATTCATTCGACCTATCCTCTCGTTCCCCGATTGTTAAAGAGCGAAAGTGCCTCTCTTACTCTCCCCTTAATAAATTAGTGACGTCAGTGCCGAATAAGGCGCTGCCCTCGTTACAATTAACTCGCCTTTATTATAGATTTTCAACACAAAAATAAAATACAGACATTACAAAATGCGTTCATCTATTGAAAAAAATAATGACCTGTATGTATGATCTACATATACTATTTTCTGTTTTCCTGATATTTTTGAAATGATCAAAGATAAAAGAAATATAAAAAACTGTCTATTCATTCCACTGGCTCCGAATCATCCCCGCTAGTTCCAACTACAAAATTATCATCAGAAGATACCGCTTCTTTCTTTTGTTTCTTCTTAGCTACCGATGCCCTAAAAAAGTATACAGATGCAATATTAAATAGT